GGCTGTCGTCCCGATCGTGGATGCAGAGGCCCAGCTGTAGGAAGCTTCCACATGTGCCATGAATTTGTTTCTTGCTGGCGTTCCCGGTAGGAGTGTGGTGCAGGTAGGAGTGCTTTCCGCGCCCCACATGCGCCATGCATTCTTGTCCCTGCTTCCCCAGTAGGAGTGTGGTGCGTGCAGGAGCGCTTTGTGCTGTCGCCCCCTCTTCGTAGGCTGCCCTAACCCTTGCTCAGGCCTGGACCTCATCACAGCCGCGCCGAGCCTCAGAGTGCTTGCCGGGGTTTCTTTTGTTTTTGGAAGGGTCTGGGTTTGTGTGGGGTTTCTTTCTCGAGCGAGTGTCTGTGTGCGTGCAGGAGTGCCTGGTTCTGCTGCCCCGGCCTTTTGCCGTAAACCCCTGCGAGTGTGTGCCTAGGTGCTGCTGGGGTGCCCTGTGCGCCTCCTTCGACTTCTGCGTTGGTACCTTCCTCATGTGCCATCCATTCGTGTGGTTTGTTTTCTACTCCGTTGCCGGTTTTAGGAGCCCACGTTTGGATTGTTGGGTTTCCTTTACCCTTCTTCCTCTTTCGGGTTCCTAATGTGCCAGCCACCCGTGTGCACCAGGTTGGTGACATCCTTACGAATATCCTCTTTGTAGCCTAAAGGAGCCCCGACTATAAGCGCTGTGAGACCTTCCTGACGTGCCCGTAGGTCCCCTCCTTTTGCCCTCCGAGAGTGTTGCCCAGGTCCAGACCTTTGTCATCCCATGCCGGTGCCTCTGAGGGTTTGTTCGGATGTTCGGCGGTTTGCGAGTGTGTGCGCGTGCAGGAGTGCCTTGTGCTGGTAAAGCTAGAGCCCGCCTCGCGTGTAAGCATGTGTAAGCTCTCCCGATCTCCCTCCTATCCGCATCGCTGAGGCCTGACCTCGCTGGGCGGCGACGCGTCGTCTTGGGGCCTGGACCTTGAGCTTGTAGGCTTCTCAGGTTTTTTTTTTTGGTGAGGTGGGTTGGGGTTTGAGTTTCGGGGCTTTGGTGGTTTGGTGTCCTCCACATGTGCCATTCATTGGTGTGTCTCTTGCGCGATTGTCTGATGCACCATCCACCTGTTATGCTTGTTGCCCGAAAGTGCTCGAACTGAGTGACATCCTTACGAAGGGTTTAGGATCCTGAGGTGTAAGGTTTACATATATATATATATATATCTATATCTATATATACCCCTAGGGTGCGGGGTCTAAGGCCCTAGGGTTGAGGGTTTAGGGTGTTAGGGTTTATATATATATACTACAGTAATGTTTTCTGCCATGTGGCCCCCCAACATGGTACAAGAACAGCTGCAGAATGTGGCGAGCATTCAGTCCACCGACAAGGCTTTCGCAGCCCTTCTCGCTGATGGATCTGTCGTGACCTGGGGTGAGATTACCTATGGCGGCAACTCAGGTTTGCAGCAGCCTCAGCTGAGAGGCGTGAGGCGGATTCAGTCCAATAACAAGGCTTTTGCTGCCATTCGCCTTGATGGACGTGTCGTCACATGGGGTGATCCTGATTATGGTGGGAACAGCAGCCGTGTACAGCACCAGCTGCAGAATGTGGTGAGCATTCAGGCCACCGAAGAGGCTTTTGCAGCCAGACTCGGCGATGGATCCGTTGTCACATGGGGTGCTGTCGACGCAGGCGGCGACAGCCGTGCAGTTCAGCATCTTCTCCACGATGTGGTAGAGATCCAATCCAGCACTGCTGCTTTTGCAGCCAGAAAAGCAGACGGATCTGTTGTGACATGGGGTGATGCCGAATATGGGGGCGACTCTAGTGCCGTACAGCTACAGCTCCAGCATGTGCAGGCAATAGCAGCGACCAAGCAAGCATTCGCTGCTATTCTCACCGATGGCTCTGTGGTGACTCGGGGCGACGAATTTTCCGGAGGAAGAACGGATTTTTCGTTTTGACCTGGGGCTCTGCCTTGTTCGGTGGCAACAGTTTTGCATCCAAGTTTTGAGGAGCTCTTTTGCGGCAGCGCAGCAAAACAAAAGGCCGTCACAGTCTGAGCTCTTGATTTAGACTGGGGTCCGTCACATGTGCCGTCCATTTGTGTTCGCCGGCGTTGCCCAGGTCCAGCTCTTTGTGATTATGATCGGCCTCCTGATGAGCTTCGCAGTGGCGGGCAGGCTTGCTGCGTGCATCAATGGGGTGAGGCTTGTATGTGGGTTGCTTTGGTTCACGTAGCTTCGGACCGTAGTTTTCGGTGTGCTGCTGTCTTTGTTGTTCTTGCTGCTGGCGTCTCCTTCCTGTTCTCACCCCGCCCTTTGGAATGCTTCAGGTCGAGTTTCAGTAAAACCAAAAATTCTATAGGTTCTATAGATCCTGTATACTGTAAGCACATGTCGGATTGTTGCGGGTCCCCTGAGCGCTGGTATGTGTCGGAATGTTGCATCTCCGCTTGTCGGAATAATAGAATCGGCCTTCTTGGTTCCGTGCAAGGGTGGCTGTGCGTTCAGGTGCTGTAGCTCCCGTAGATGAAGCTAGGAGCATGGAAGCTGCAGGATTTTCATGCGGAGGGTTTGTAATTCCGTTTCTACAGTGGCAGCTGCTTACCTCGTGCTTGTGTTTGAAAGCAGTTGAAACTCATGCAGGCAGAGCCTGCGACTTCTACGCTTCCTGGTGGATCCGTGCGACTGGCACACATTGACACTCGACACTTCGGGATTCGGATTTCGTGGATGCACATTGGGCTCGCTTTGAGGCTCTTCTGCTTCTAGCATAGCCGAGTGAACATTTCTCAAACTGTGCCTGTGCACCATGTGCCATGAGTTGATATTGCAGTCGTGCTGCCATAGACTTATGGGTCTAGTCTGCCCACTCTTCTCGATAATAAATTGCCCACTTCGGCCAGACTCGCCGCTGCAGTTGCGGCTCCATGGGCATCGATTGCGAGGCCTGCTGAATGGTTCCTTAACCTCGAACCCCCGGCCCCCGGCCCCGGTTGCCCTATAAACCCTTTGTTGGAACGTGCTTGGTTGCATGGTCTACTTTGGTACATTAGAAGGCTGTCGCCTGTCACCGTCGTGAGCTCTTTTGTTTTGCTGGCCAGGCTCGCTGGCTGGCTGGTCGAGGTCGCCACGCCAGGTCTGGTTCTCATCCGACTGGGTTCACTAGGAGGCCAAGTCCCTGCGGCCTCCACTCTTGCTGTGCTCCGTCTCAAGCGGGAGCTCCGTTCTTCTCTCAAGCGGGAGTTTGGGTGCTGTAGCTGCTGATTCTGCCTTGGTGCTGGCCGTGGAGGCCCGGTCCAGTTGCTGATGCCGGTTCCTTTTTTTTTGTGCTCTGGAAGGACATGCCGCTGAAGGAGACCTTCGAGTCCCCGCAGGGAGGTGTGGCGAGAAGCACCATGCTGAGGGAGCTCAACATGGGAGAGCTGGCCCGCTGCCCGGCTGCTCGTTCCCTTGTTCTTGGAACTCCGCCCGAACCCAGGCCCGACTCCAGAAGGAGGTCAGCGAGATCCTCGAGCAACGGCCGGGCTCCAAGCCTGTCGCGTGCCTGGGAGACTCCCCCCTGCCAGGATCCTGGCCCTTCAGACTGTCATCGACGACTTGCAGGCTTCCTCCGTCATTTTTTGGGCTGGAAGTCATGTGCGCACCCTGCCAGGAGCGTAGTGAGAGGTCGAGGTCACCGCGACGACGTGCAGCCCCCCTCCGTCATTTTTTGGGCTGGAAATCACGTGCATCCCCTGCCAGGAGCGTAGTGAGAGGTCACCGCGCCGTTGAGCAGACAAGGCTTGGCCAGCTACAGCGCGCAAAATGCGGGTCCGGTCCGTTGAGTTTCGAGCCTTGTGTCTTGGGCCTTGCCTCCGCGGTTGTTCGAAGCCGGAGCTGACTCACAGGCCGCAGCCAAGGCCAATTCGAGATCGGTTTTGGGGCAGGGTCGGGCACGCCGCGAGCTGAGCTGAGGCCGGGCTCGGGCGTGTCTTTCGACTCTATCGCCTTGTGCCTATATTGTGGGCAGTACCTCCAGCCAATCGTCACCAGAGCTAAGGCAGGAGATGGTTTGCTAATCGCCCTGGTGTGCCAAAGACCTGTGATCGCCTAGAGGTCAGAACCTTCGCTGTTGCCGCAGCTGCCTCAGAGTGTTTCGCGTGATCTTCACTAGGAGTGCAGGTAGAGTGCAAGTGCAGGGGCTTTCTGCTGGGGTTGTTCGATTGGAGCTTGTGGCCAGGTTCTGAGACTGTCGCTTTAAGGCTTATATAGGGTTCTAGGGTTTAGGGTTTAGGACCCTAGGAAGGCCCTAGGGTTGAGGGTTTAGGGTCCTAGGTTTAGGGTTTCGGGGCTTTGCATTTAGGGTTTAGGATCCTGAGGTGTAAGGTTTACATATATATATATATATATATATATATACCCCTAGGGTGCGGGGTCTAAGGCCCTAGGGTTGAGGGTTTAGGGTGTTAGGGTTTATATACGGTTTCGGGCCCTAGGGTTTATATAGGGATCAGGGCCCCAGGACTTGCGAGAGGTACCCCATTGTCTTGCGTAGGAGTGGAAGTGCTGTTGTGTACGCTCCCAGATATGCCAGCCGTTAGTGTGACACCATCCCCGATTCGTGTGTGCTGGCAGGCGTTCGTGTTTCGACCCCCTATATAAACCCGCCACCGCAGTACTGGGCTCCATTGTGCTGCTCCAGTGTGCAGGTCCCCATTGGCAGCTTCGCCGTCACCGTGCACCAGATTTATATGAGCCCCCCACTCAGCCCGTGCTGCGATCCGTGTAGACACGTTCACAGGTCATCTGCTATAGAAATTATAAACCTATATATATATATATATATATATATATATATATTTATATTTATATTTATTTATTATTGCCGGAGTTTCCAGGGTTTGCGGGAGGGTGCGGCAACACGAGGTACTGATGTGCCATCCATTCGTGTTGTGAAGAGGTCCGAGGTCAGAGCTCCATCCCCTCCTCCTCTGATGATGAGTGTGCATGGCAGCTGCTGCATGCTCAAGCCTAGTTGCCACGCTGAAGGCGTTGCAGCCATGGACTCCATATACTGCGGCGGTCTGGAGAGCTGCAACAAGCTCTGGTGGCTGCTCGTTCACTTCGCTGCGACCTGGGGGCCCCAATTCGAGGGCGAGATGGACCGCTTCCACACCACGGATGATGGCTACTACAAGGACCGCCGCAATGCCATGCATTTGAAGTTCCACGATGAAGCGGAGGCGGTGCTCCCAGGGTCATCTCGCTGGGGCGTATTCACACCGGCCGCGGTCGTGCGTCTTTTGGCACCAGCCTGGTGGCGCAGAGTCTGCTTCAGCCAGGACGTGTCGCACCGCTTTTTGGAGTGTTGGCTGTACACGCAATTTCCACTCCGAGGCCAGATGTTCGAGGACGTCGTGGAGATTCTGCACTGCTTTTGCGAGATGGTCCATTGGTCTGACTACGTTGCCGCGGTGCCTGGTGAGATCCGGACGTTCCAAGACCTGATGGATGCCCGAGCGTCCATGGTGAGGCGCCTGCGGCAGCTGAAGCAAGAGCAATGGGAGCTTCGACGTGGCTTGCAGTTTTCAGCTTAATTTGCTCCAGGGCGCATGGCCGGCGCCCACCTTGCATGCAACTTCTTTGAGTTTGTGACGTCGAATTTGGACGACTCACAGCTCACGAGCCTGATTAAGAGCAGTTCCGAGCAAAATGAGCGTCTTTCTTTTCCGAGCTCCTCCCCGCCTCCTGCTGCCCTGTCCTCGCCCCCCTCCTTCCACTCAGGTCTGGTCTTCTTTGGTGGCCGTGATCTCGGCCTGGGTTCGTAACTATATAAGGCTTATATAGGGTTCTAGGGTTTAGGGTTTAGGACCCTAGGAAGGCCCTAGGGTTGAGGGTTTAGGGTCCTAGGTTTAGGGTTTCGGGGCTTTGCATTTAGGGTTTAGGATCCTGAGGTGTAAGGTTTACATATATATATATATATATATATATATATATATATATACCCCTAGGGTGCGGGGTCTAAGGCCCTAGGGTTGAGGGTTTAGGGTGTTAGGGTTTATATACGGTTTCGGGCCCTAGGGTTTATATAGGGATCAGGGCCCCAGGACTTGCGAGAGGTACCCCATTGTCTTGCGTAGGAGTGGAAGTGCTGTTGTGTACGCTCCCAGATATGCCAGCCGTTAGTGTGACACCATCCCCGATTCGTGTGTGCTGGCAGGCGTTCGTGTTTCGACCCCCTATATAAACCCGCCACCGCAGTACTGGGCTCCATTGTGCTGCTCCAGTGTGCAGGTCCCCATTGGCAGCTTCGCCGTCACCGTGCACCAGATTTATATGAGCCCCCCACTCAGCCCGTGCTGCGATCCGTGTGGACACGTTCACAGGTCATCTGCTATAGAAATTGTAAACCTATATATATATATATATATATATATATATTTATATTTATTTATTATTGCCGGAGTTTCCAGGGTTTGCGGGAGGGTGCGGCAACACGAGGTACTGATGTGCCATCCATTCGTGTTGTGTCAACTGTTGCAGCCCTGCACCCCTCCCCCTCGTGTTGCCCAGGTTCCACGCATCGCGGCTGCACACAAACTACACGCACAAATCGAGAAGGTGCAGTCTGCTGTGTTGTGGCCTGCTTGTCTATGTCACTGGCCTACACGCTGCGCAGGCGACCCGAACCTCCTTTCAGTGCAATCACGCCTGGATCATCATGTGCCCCCAGCTAGGAAGTTTTCGACACTTCGGCATCATGTGCAGCACAGTGAGAGCCCTTCTGCAGGGACTGCGACAAACCTGTGCCCATCTCATGTTGTGGAGCAGCTGGAGGGCTCAGATAGCAAGGGATTTGCTTGCCCAGGGTGCCTTTTCGATGTCCGGTTCTTCCGAGGAGCTGGAGGAGGTCTGGGTGGAAAGCCCAGAGGAGACAAGGGCGAGGGCCGGGCCACCGCCGCCGCATCCTGTTCAAGTCGAGCAGGCTCTTGCGCACCGCATATCGCGGGCTGTGGCACGTGAGCTCCCTTCCTTTGTCGGCCCGATCGTGTGCTACATCCCTTGGCATCATGCCGGCCTGACCTCAATGAGAATCACGGTGGAACCTATGCGAGAGCAGGACAGGGCTCACCAGAATCTCTTGAATTGGGGCGCCGATGGTCCCAGGGAGGACCTCCAGGGCAGGACTGAGGGCCCAGGGCTGGAGGACCGCAACTTGTCCTACCTGCTGTCCGCGGCCATTGGTGACGCCATGATGAGGCATGGCAGGCCCACCCAAGTGGTCCTCACACGGCTGGCGCCAGAGATCACTGCCCCGGATAGGCGAGAGGCCATGCTGACGGCGAACGTTCGCAGGATGAAAAATGCGGAAGCGGGCGATGAGCTGGCACTCTGGACGGGCAGCCCATCCAGTGATGATGGAGCCGTGGAGCCTACGGTGATGGGGGAAGCGGCCAGCCGTATCAACAGTGCCAGGGGCCTGATCACCCGTGCGGAAGCTGAGGAGCTGACGGCTCAGCTACGGGCTGCTCTCATGGCGGAGGAGGCAGAAGAGGCCGCGGCATCCTCGACGACCCCGGGCACGACCAGCAGGGTGGAGGCCACAGCGGGTGCATTGACATCGACCACGGCCCCGCCTTCGACTCCGACACCGACTCCTCGATCCGCGTCATCGGCGGCACCGAAGCCGAAGCCTTCCAGGAAGTGGGCAGCCTACTTGAGGAGTCTTGTGGTTTTGTCTTCCGGGTGGTTTCTTCAAGGGATCAGCCAGCAACTCTGCTTCTCAGGCGACCTCGCCCCTTGAGCCGTGAGTAGCTGTGAGATGGGGGCCCGCCTCAAGGGATCACTTGAAGTGATTTTGTTCCCTTGGATTTTGCTCCTGTGGAAGTCTAGGGCCTTTCCTGCTCCTAGCCACTGCTGGCGTCTTGCATCAATGCTTTCGAGCCAGCTGATTGCAGCATTGCGCACTGGAAAAAAACAGCTATATATATATATATATATATATATATATTTACCCTTGCCTTTGCCGCTGACGACCGCACCACCTTGTGCTTGTCTACCAAGCGACCGGCCAGGTACTGTATCTGCTGCTTCTGCGGATTGTGGCCGGTGACCCAATCCCGTCTTGTACTTGCACTGAGCTTCTTCTTTGCCTTGCCCATTGTCTTTGTGGTGGCATGCCAGGTCGTCTACGAGCACCTTGCCCTGACCATGAGTGACGACCTTAGACAAAGCCGGAGCATATATATATATATATACTGACACGAGCTCTCCATTACGGGATCTCGACCAGTGCACTCGCCAGGTCGGATGACGCAGATCGAGCCGCCCGATATCGTTGCAGCCGCCTGGGTCCCAAGTCCCAGGGCAGTCACCATAGCATTCTTCCTTGGAGACCTGCAGTGATCCGTGTGGGCACCAGGTATATACTGATGTGCCATCCATTCGTGTTGTGGTTGTAGCCCTGCACCCCTCCCCCTCGTGTTGCCCCAGGTTCCACGCGTCGCGGCTGCGCAAGGACGACACGCACACATCGAGAAGGTGCAGTCTGCTGTGTTGTGGCATGTTGTGGCGGTTTGCTGCCTGGGCCAGCTTTGCTGTCCCTGCACTTCGTGACTGCTCCCATGGTTGTTTGCTCATCGCGTCTCCAGTGTGCAGGTCTCCACTGGCAGGTTCGCCGTCACCGTGCATCAGATTTATATACATGAGCCCCCCACTCAGCCTGTGCAGTGATCCGTGTGGGCACCAGGTATATACTGATGTGCCATCCATTCGTGTTGTGGTTGTAGCCCTGCACCCCTCCCCCTCGTGTTGCCCAGGTTCCACGCGTCGCGGCTGCACAAGGACGACACGCACACATCGAGAAGGTGCAGTCTGCTGTGTTGTGGCATGTTGTGGCGGTTTGCTGCCTGGGCTTTGCTGGCCCTGCACTTCGTGACTGCTCCCATGGTTGTTTGCTCATCGCGTCTCCAGTGTGCAGGTCTCCACTGGCAGCTTCGCCGTCACCGTGCATCAGATTTATATACATGAGCCCCCCACTCAGCCTGTGCTGTGATCCGTGTGGACACTAGGTACCGATGTGCCATCCATTAGTGTGTTGTGCAAGTATATTCTTCGCTGCAGTGGGTTCCGCTTTGCCTAAGCCCTCTCCGAAGCCGGCACATGTGCAACATGACTTTCGAACAAGTCCATCATATACGCATTGTGGGCATGCATGCACTGGTGCAGAGCTGTGCTTGAGCAAGTCCTTCATGGCTTCTCATGTTGGCGGCTCGGCTGCTTCTGCGGGCTCTCACTCGGGATCGGCTGCAGATGTGGTGTCCGCTGGCTCCGCAGGGGAGGCTTCTGATGATATACTTATCGATGCTCCGGTGGAGAGCCCAGATCGCCTGACCGAAGCTGCAGGGACTGGAAGGCACCTTCTCGGGGCTCCGATCACGCATGCGGAGGCCTTTCTTGGTCCGATGAATGCAGAGATTTACCCTCCACCTGAACGCCTCCGCCTTGTCCTAGCTGAGCTTCTGAACGAAACTTCGGGCCATCAGTTTCAGATCAACCTGGTCCAGGACGATATTGCTGAGTTGCGGACGGAGACATCGGCTTTGCGTTTGCGGGTGGCCGAGCTCGAGGAAGATCTCAGTCGTGCTCGCAGTCGTGAGCAGTGGGACCTGGTTGCGAGCATGCGTTCTCAGATCACTTCGCTTCTGGCCCGTGTCCCTGAAATGCTGAGCAATCGCCGCCCTAGGACCGCTTCCCGTTCCCCTAGGCGTAGGTGAGTGCTGGCTGCAGTGCAAAGTTTTGATCACGGTTTCAACATATATATATATATATACTACTGGTACTGAAGTGCACCCCTGTTGCCTGCACATCGCCATCTATATACAGCCTGGCGTGACTTTTTGAAAATGGCTGCTGGCTGTTGCTTGCATTTCTGGAGCTTTGTGAAGCAACTCTGTAAACCCAAACACACCCGAACCCACGAAAGCAATCAACCGTATAGAAACCAGGCTGCCTGAAAAGCCATCAGCCTCCTTGACGGCCCAGGCTTCGCTGTGCCATCGCTGTGCCATCCTCCTGTGTGGCCGACCAAGCATCTGTCTCTCTCCCCTCTCTTCTTTATTTATATACATATTTATATATATATATGTGTGTATATGTATGTATGAATATCTACATATATATCTCTTAATAGAAAGAAGCTTGCTTTGTGCTTCGGCAGGCTCCAGCTGCCGAATCCAAGAAGCAGAAGGTGGGCTGGCCATTGTGCTTATATATTCGATCCCGATTGAATGCATACATACATATATATATATATATATGTGCAGAAGCTCGCAGCGGCAGGCTACAGCTGCCGAATCCAAGAAGTCGAAGGTGGGCTCGGTTCTTTCGACTTTGCTTATACCCATGTGTCACCCACTCGTGCAGGCCACGCCCGCAAAGACGAAGGTGCGCTTTTGACACATGTGTATGTATATATATATATATATATATACAGAGAGAGAGAGAGAGAGAGAGAGAAAGAGAGAGAGAGAGAGAGAGAGAGAGAGAGAGAGAGAGAGAGAGAGAGAGAGAGAGAGAGAGAGAGAGAGAGAGAGAGGGGGGGGAGAGAGAGAGAGAGAGAGAGAGAGAGAGAGAGAGAGAGAGAGAGAGAGAGAGAGAGAGAGAGAGAGAGAGAGGGGCTTGCTTTGTGTGGCGGCAGGCTCCAGCTGCCGAGTCCAAGAAGGAGAAGGTGGGCTCGGTTTTTGACTTTGCTCATCGTCGGCTTCGGTGCCTGAAGACATGCTGCTGCAGCCGTTTGTGACTGTGCGTGTGTGTGTGTGACGGTTTTTGAGTGTTTTGAATAGTTAGTGTTATAGGTTGACGACTGCACATTCTGAGATTTCAGAGTGTTTGGCAGGATCCAGCTGTGGCGTCCAAGAAGCAGGCGGTGGGCCCCTTTTGTGATTGGTCACAGGTGTGCCTGCCACTCGTGCATGAATGCAAGGCTTCGTCTACCAATGCTCCGACAGATCTCAATGGAACGGAGGTCGTGGGTTTCACTACTTTTTTTCATGCTTTCGGCAAGTGGCGGGCTCGGTCATCAAAGCTGGTGCCTGCGTGAGTGTGCTAGGACAACGCCCCAGGGATACCCCTGCGGGAAAGAACGAAGCAGTTCTTCGCCCTGCACAGCGGTGCGAATGAAGCCCGAGCTTCAGACTTCAAGGTGTATGTATATATATATATATATATATGTATATAGATATATATAGATGTGCGTGTACGAGTTCCATCAAGGTTTCCGCCTCCGGCTGTTCCACGGTCACAATCCTTAACCCTTTGCGCCGAACCAGAACCACAGGGTTTAGATCAACAAGGCTTATATGAAAGGAACCCAAAATCTTATTTTTGTATGTGGTTGGCTGTATTTGTGTTTAAAAGTGTTTTCTTGCATTTAAAAGTGGTGTTTTGTATTTAAAAGTTTTTTAAATATGTTTTTTGTGTTTTACAGTTGTTAAATTTTTTTAATTTTATTTTTGGTGTAAAAGAATACATGTTTGTGAATTATGAGTTTTTGTTTCTGATTGAGTCAAATGGCTTCCTGTTGTTCTACCTGGTTTCCTGCAGCTGTACGTCTACAATTTTTTATTTGTTTTTGAAGTGCTTATTTCATCAATATAAATATTTTTGGTTGTGATTGAGTCAAATGATAAATGGCATCCTGCTGTTCAACCTGGCTTCCTGCTGTTCTACGTCTACAAATTTGTTTGTATTTGTTTTTAAAGTAGCTTATCAATTTAAGTTGGGGGTTGTGATCGAGTCTAAGGGTTTAGGGTTTCCTTGAAATGCCGACCTTCCCCACATGGATTCGAGCGGTGCAGTGGTGTGTCGTACAGTAGTAGTACAAGTAATAGCACAGTAGTAATGCAGTAGTACAAGAGTAGTACCATATTTAGTAGTACAGTAGCAGTGCAATAGCAATACAGAAGTACAGTAGTAAGAGGGTAGTAGTAAAGTGGTAGTACAGTAGGGGTACATTACAAGGGTGTGGGAGTACCTGGAGCTGTTTAGCAGGGTGTGGGCACGACCAAAGTCCAAACCACGATCACTCCAAGATACCAACACTAAAACCTTTTATGTTGAGAACTTTTTCGTCCGGCCTACACTCCTGTACAGCAGTGCATTAGTATTGCAATAGTACAGTAGTAGGACAGTCGTAGAAGAGAAATACATAAAATCAGTCGGCCCAACAAAGAACGCACTAATCATTAATTAGGCCACCATTTTTTTGATACAGCCCGAATAAGCACGGGAAACACGCATCAACTAGGCACACCGGACCAGAAGGACCCCCACATTAACCTGTATTAGTGGTGTGATGCTATTAGTCAATTTCAGTATTCGCATGCGTTTGGCATGTTGCTACTTGTTTGTGTTTGCTTGGTGACTGTTTTGTGCAAGTCTGTTGTTGCGTGTCTTGGCTCAAAACTTCTTCGCAAAAAAGCGAATCACAACGTCGCCTCCTGCTTGGAAGCAAAACAAGATATAGAAAACCTGGCTCAGTCTGGTCAAGTTTGTTTCGGTAATGTTTTTTTCAAAAAAGGAGAGCCCAAATTTAGGAAAAGGGAAAAGCAATCCACACTGGGGTGATTGAGCCGGGGACCGGCCATCCGCCCCCAGCCCAGCCCAATTCCAAGATGCCGCATCGTCAGCCCAGCCAGCCCACCCCCACCCCAGCCGACCCCCCCCCACCCGACCCACCCCCTACTTTCGGGGGACACCCATTGCGATTTGATGATTTTGGTTTGGGGACAGGCACCGGACACC